CTACGCTACCAGAGCTCCTTATCTGCTTCAAAACACAATGATAGAATAAACAGAAGGTAGACATTTCCATCACAAACAGGGGCAAATGGAGAGCAAGAAGGGACAATAGACTCCAAGCAAGTTAAAAGCTCAACAGAACAATTTACATTATTAGCTCTCAAGGCTTGAAATAATCCTCCGTTCTTGAGACCATCTAGATAATGGCTATGTCCTCCAGACTCTGGATGTTGGTCATATACTCTGGATTCTGGGTAAAGGCCCCTTAACCCTGCGTTTTAGTTCTGCCTTCCAGACCCACTGGAATGGCAACTCTGCTCCATTGGCCTTGGGCAGTCCCATTCTCCTAGTCCACCTAAGAGGTGACCTCACCCCCTCAGTACTGTCAGACCCTGTTTTTCTGCCCCCTTATGCATATCAGTCTTGCCCTTTCAGCTTTGGGCAGAAATCTCAGGTTAATGGCAGCCCCACTCTTTGAAAGTTAGGAAATTGTAGCCCCATCCTTAGAAACCCCAGAGATCATAATTCTACCTTTTGAGACTGAGGCAGCTCTGGTTCCTGCATTCTTTGTCTCTTCAGCTTCTGTTTCCTGGTTCCTTGATTTCTAGAAGAGGTCAGCCTTGTACCCACTCCACCAGTAAGCCTTGCCTGGAAAGAGCTTAGCTGTCTCGCGCTGTGAATTAGAGAGCCTAACTTTACCGACAAGTGCTCAGAGGCACTTCACTCCACCAGGAAGCCTCCTACATGAAGGTGCTCAGATCTCTTTTTTCATGGGTTGGCTTCCAAGCCATCTTGTGTCAGTCTCATGGTTCTGCTGCTGCAATTTCTCCTCTGTACCATATGTTCCATCTCTGCTGTGAAAGCTCTCCTCATTTCCTTCTGAATCCCCATCATAATTGAATTTGACAGCCATAATTCCACTAATAGTCTCTTCTAGACAATGTAGGATTTTACTAGTAGGCAGTTTAGTACTCTTCCAGCCTCTGCTCATTATCAAATTCCAAAAACACTTCCACATTTTAGGTATCTGCTACAGCAGCACCCTACTCCTAGCACTAAATTCTGTCTTAGTCATCTGATGCTGTTATAACAGAAATACCACAAGTAGATGGCTTTAACAACCAGACATTTATTCACTCACAGGTTAGGAGGCTAGAAGTTCAAATTCAGAATTTTGGCTCTAGAGGAAACCTTTCTTTCTGTCACCTCTGGGGGGAAAGGTCTTGATCTTCTTTCAGTATCTGTAGGCCTAGTGTTCTTTTGGAGATCTCCTGATATCTTGGCATCAATCTTCCCCTGGATCTAGGAGATTCATAGTGTAGGAGCCCTAGGTCCAAAGGATGAATTCCACTCCTGGCTCTTCTATCTTGGTGGTGGTAGGTCCCTCTCTCTCTGCGCACTGGCTTCTCTTACATTTTATAGCTCAAAAGAGATTGACTCGAGTTGCAACCTAGTCCTGTAGATTGCATCTGACCTCATTAACACAATAGAAGTGAGGATTTACAACACATGCAATAATATCAAATCAGAGCTAATCACATCAGATCACAACATGGGGTTGATTGCTTCGTATTAGATCTCATCATGGAGGTGGTAATGACCGCTTAGCTGCTAAATGGAGAATCCTGACCCAGTCAAGCTGACATCAAACCTTCACTGTCACAGACAGGTAGGAGCTGGGATTCACTGTGAACAAAAGCCTCCTGCCCAATTCTTCAATTATACTTAAAGCACTTACCATGAATTGAATGAATAACAAAACGTTTTACAAAGAGGAATTTTCTTGGAGGAAGAGACCACTGATAGTCATTTTTCACTTTGGCAAAATATCCAACATATCTACTCTGAAAAATAATAAAAGTCTCAATTTTAGTGGAGATGAAAAGTCTAATGTCAGCTTTCTTAAATTTTTTTTCATGTAGCTGATTTAGGACAGTAATTAATTTAGGATATGTTTATTGGGGGTCCATTATGTAACTGGGGAGCATGCTGGCTCCATATGATAAACACTGGACTGAGAAAAACAAGGTCTGTGGTTCAAGCCAGCCAGCCACTCTGTGGGAAAAAGATGAGGCTTTCTGCTTCCATAAAGACTTGGAAACCCTATACAGGTGCTATGATTTGGAGCCTACTTGATGGTTCTTAAGAACAACATTATTATATGACTGTTGTTGTTGTTGTTAAGTGCTGTTGAGTCGGTTCTGGCCAATACTGACCCTGTATAGGGTTTACCAAAGGGTGGCTGGTGGGTTTGAACCACTGACATTGAGGTTGAAATCGACTTTGCAATCCAGCACATTATCCTGCAGTGCCACACCAGGACTCCATTATGTAAGCAGGCATTTTTTATATGTTGCTTCATAGCTACCTTGAAAAACATGAATTGCTGTGGGGAAGTAGCAAATAAGGAGAAAGGTTTTGCTTGCAGGTTGTATATGATTGAAAGGGCAACTAACCAGAATAAACAACAAACAGCTACAACAATGTCACAGCAAGCTAAGGTTAATTTCACTATTAAAGAAATTGTGAAATAAGGAGGTTGAAGCTTAGTTGTGACTGAGTTAGAGGAAAGTTTGTGGTTTGGTGGACAAACTTGGCAGGGAGAACAGTATATGTGAAAATTCATGAGGAAGAGCTTCATAAGTCATTTGTAGATTATATGTCCTTCTTTTTTTGTCTCTGACAGCTAAAAGCTTCTTCAACCTCCAGTTCCCTAATACTATTTTCATAAGACCTGGAATCCTCTAAGCCTCTCCTATCACAAACTGCTCATCAGGGCTCTTCTTGAATCTTTCACCTTCCCACTACAGTTCTAAATCCAGAGGATTTACAAATTTGCAGACTTTCCCTCACTCATGGGCAGTGTTAGTAAATTTAATTGGCATGGTTTCCATTGGAAAGGGCTGGCCATGAGACAAGATTAGGAGCAGATGAAATTCAGGTCATGTAATGGCCCACAAAACACGGTTAGAACGTGATGGAATCTGAAACTACTACGTTACAGAGGCCTTGCCAACATGACTACGTTACATGGGGCCTTGCCAACATGACTCTAAAGGCTGAAGCTGAGCCCTTACATTGCTAACCCAGTGAATCAGAAGAGATACAACTATAAGCTATGATGTTCCTGTTCTGGACTAAAGTTAGGAAAACTGCATGACTCCAGAAGAAACAGGTAGGGGAGATGTACAGTGAGACACATTGAAGAAACAATAACTAGCATTTACTTGGCTCCTTCCACCAGATTCTCCACCTCTCACTAAAGGTTTATAATCTCACATGGCCCTCAAACTGCTTTTGTTCTCATTATTCATTCTCCTACAGCTGATAACAATACGATTTTTATAGAGGAATTTAATACAACCGACACACTTTTAAGTAAGTATGCTCTACAAACAAAGAGGGTAATAGGGCCCTTGGTATGCAAAGGATAGAAAGATGGGTAAGATGTGGTTCTGACCTTCAAAGGGGATAGGGAAGTGGTCAATTCAAATTGCTAAAGAACAAGGAAAAGTGATGCAAATTCCTAAAGGAAACAGGAAAGACTGGAAGAACTTGAAGAACAAGAGACTGCATCAGACTGGGAAGGGAAGGAGATTCTATGAGCAACAGTCGGTGAGTATGAAGTGTTGACAGGCTTGTTGCTGTTGTTGTTAAGTGCCATCATGGAGTTGATTCCGACCCATAGCGACCCTGTATAGGGTTTCCAAGGAGCAGCTGGTGAGCTTGAACCACTGACTTGCAGTTCAAACGACTTTGCAGTCTGACACATTAGCTCACAGCACCACACCAGGACTCTGTTGACAGGCTTAGGGGAATAGCAAATACTACAAATGTGTTAATATTAGAGAGTGGGATATGTAATTGCAAATAATGAATGAAAAGGGTGGAAAAATCAAATTGTAGAAGATCTTGAGAGCCAGGTTAAAATATGAGTATTTATTTACATTGGCAGTGAGGACCATTACGTTTGTTTTTTTTTTGAGACTGGGAATGGCGCAATCAGAATTGGTCTTCAGAAAGTTTGTGTATTACTTTTAGCCTATGGCTATCTTTTTTGTTTTGGTGTGGTGAATAAGTAGCAGTGGCTAATCCTGAGTTCTTTTGCCCCAAACTATGTTGTTGTTGTTGTTAAGTGCCATCCAGTCGGTTCCGACCCATAGCGACCCTGTACAGGGTTTCCGAGGGTGTAAATCTTTACCGGAGTAGAAAGCCTCATCTTTCTCCCGTGGAGCGCCACTACGCTACCAGAGCTCCTTAACTATATAGCTCCTTGGAAACCCTATACAGGGTCGCTATGGGTTGAAATTGACTCCATGGTGGCACTTATCAACAACAACAACAACAACATATAGGCATAGGGTCATCAGTTAGAGTGCCTTCCTAACAAGGTTAGAGATTAATTCCCTATTCAATTCACATCATGGAAAATAATGGCCTTCAGAGTATTACAACCTACATCTGAGTTATTGGTTTAAAAAATTAATTTCTCTGAACCTCAATCTATAAACTGGGAATTAGATTAATGCCTGCTCATAGGGTCGATCAGAAGATAACATGAATTAATGAACATAAAGCCTTTAGCAAGGCTCAGCAATGTTTAGAATGTTGTAAGCTGTATAGGATAAGTGTCCTGGTATTGTTAATAAGAAAATTATAAGTAATAAAAAAGAAAGGTGGGGGTTTACAAATTAAAGGAATAAGAATCTTAAGTCAAATGAATTATGTGGACCTGTTGGAGGCTGATGGAAACAAGCCAGATTTAAAGCTTTTTAAAAAAAATTTAAATGAAATTATGAAAAGTTAAATATGAACTAGACTTTTGATATTATTAAGATATGAGGGAGTCCTGGTATGGCGCTGCGGGTTAATGCACTGGACTGCAAAGTTGGTTTGATCCTCAAGGTCGGTGGTTCAAGCACACCAGTTGTTCTTTGGAAACCCTATACAAGTTGCTATGTGTTGGAATCTACTCCATGGCACTTAACAACAACAATTAAGGTACAGTATATGTTAGAAATGGAGTCCTGGTATGGTACAACAGGATAATGTGCTGGACTGCCAAGTTGGTTTGAACTGCAAGGTAGCTGGTTCAAGCTCACCAGCTGCTTCTTGGAAACCCTATACAGATTCTCTGTGGGTCAGAATCAACTCGACAAAACTGAACAACAACAACAGCAACATGTTATGTCTGTGATTTTTAGGTCATGTTAACTTTTAAAGAGTCTTTATCTTAATATATGTCCTATTATGGTATAAAATAGTATGATGACTAGGACGTGCCTCAGAACAATTCAGATTTAATGGGACTGTGAGGGGTGAGGAGAGTGGGCAGAGAACGGATGAGACATGCCTGGCTGTGGTGAGATTACTGTCGAAGCTGCATGGTGAGTAGAAAGGGATTTATTATATGATTCTCTTGACTTCTGTATGTTTGAAAATTTCCATAATAAAATATTTTAAAAAGAAATGTCTCATGGGTTTTATGAGCATTAAATGAGATAATACAAGAGGGCTTCAAAAAGTTCATGAGGAAATGGAATTAAAAGATAATGGACTTTTTCCCACAAACTTTATAAAGTTCCCTCATATATGTAAGTGAGTCCTGGTGTGGTGTTGTGGGTTAAAGCACTGGACTGCAAAGTCAGTTTGAACTACAAGTTTGGCAGTTCCAACTCACCAGCCGCTCCTTGGAAGCCCTATACAGGGTCGCTATGATTTGGAACCAACTCCATGGCACTCAGCAACAACAACATATATGTAAAACTGTAATATTATCTACTATGTAATAGGAGCTCTGGTAGCGTAGTGGTTACAAATCGGGCTGCGAACCTTAAGGTCAGCGGTTCGAAACTACCAGCCGCTCAGTGGGAGAAAGATGAGGCTTTCTACTCCCGTAAAGATTTACACCCTTGGAAACCCTGTACAGGGTCGCTATGGGTTGGACCCGACTCGATGGCACTTAACAACAACAATAGGTTTTTAAAAAATGATAATTTCCCTCCTTGCTTTTTCTTTCAAATCTTATACAGATTGAATTGACCCAGTAAGGGCTTATGAAAATTCAGCTCCTTTCCATAGGAAAGTAAAAGGTTGGCGATTTTAGATAATCTTCAGGGGTCTGGAATCTCAGGGCTGTGACTTTTCTACTTCAGGGAGGCTTAGGGACTTGGTACACAGTAATTAATAGAAAATGGAACGCAGAATGCTCTGAGGAGAACCCTGTGGGTGCTTCCTGGGCTCTGAGCCTGTAGTAGGACACTTGGACGCTACTGTCTGATCAGCAGGGAGAAGAGTCTAAAGTGAAACCAAATAATAAGTGTCACTCTTAGACTGTTCCTACAAAGAACCATGACCCGATCTTTTTAAAAAAGAAAACTTACCTGTGAAGGTGTTTCTACTCCCTGAAATTTAGAGCTGGTGGATTTATCTGTGCGGCGTACTCCAAAATAATACAGGCTTTCCTAAAGAAAAGGGGAAAATCCAAACGTGGTTCATCCGCATATCTTCCCTTTCCTATGTAAAGCATTCTTAAAGTTTTCAAGGGCACATGATTTCCTTAAGTCAGTGGGGTCTTTGGGCAAAGGCTACCCAAAATTAACAAAGACATGTTTTAGCCTGCTCTCATCCAAAGCCTCATAAAGAATAGAACTTAAAATCTGGGAACCTTAAGGACTGTCTGGTCCAGTCCTTCTTTCAATCCTTCCCACAGTTAACAAGACTAAGACCAAAAGAAAGCTAAGTTATGTACCATGGAGACAGACAAACAGAACAGGCCCTGGGACACAGGTCTCCTGATTCTCAATCTAGGGTTCTAGATCAGTGGTTTTAAACATTTTCTGTTTAAAACTAAGAGTCCAAGTGTGATGCTGTAGGCTAAGCACTGGGCTGCTAACCACAAGATCAATGGCTCAAATCTACTAGATACTCCTCAGAAACCCTATACATAGTCACTATGAGTCAGAACTGACTCAAAGGCACTTAACAACAACAGTTTAAAACTCGAATCCACATATCCATATTAATAAACCAACTAGATACACACATATACATAAACATGCATATGTACACATAACTGAAACACAAGTTTCAGAAAACATACTGTTTGATATTTTCTATCCTAATCTAGTCCATTGTTTTTTTAAAAAATGTTGGTCACACTCCAGTAAATTGATGTGATACTTCACTGATACATTATGATTCACAGTTTGTCAAACACTGTCTTAGAGCACCCATTGTCAACCCCTGGTGTCTCAAGTAGAACAAAAGAAAGTGGTCAAATTGAGAGCAATGGGCATAATTCACAGTTTCTTTTATCTTGATTCCATCCCGAGTGAAATAGTGAGTCCTGTGAATGGTAACTTCTCTGGAGGGTTATGGCAGAAAGAGACTATTAGGGGTGGAAATAGTCCACCCGCTCTGTCTGCTCAGAAAAATAACAGCAAGATCAATTAGACTCAAGTTTCCTAAAGCATCTTGAATATCCTCAGAAATTTTTATAAAAAATATCATTTTCTCATTCAGAACAAAGTCTCTCCTGAATGTTGTTATTCTAAAATCAAAATATGTCTGGCGGTTTCCACCTTTGGAAGCATGGTTCTTAACCTTCTTTGTGCTGTGACTAGGGTTAGTGGAGGGAGGGAGGCATGTTGGTTGCCAAATTGCCTCCCCTATTTCTGGCTCTGTCAGATCCTGTTTTATTGAAACAATGATATTAGGTTTGTCATGGATTGTTTACATTCATTTTGATTTTACAAAATACTATATAAAATAGTACTTATCCTGAATACTGAGGTTCTTGGCACTCCCTCTAATTTTATGCCTGAGGTAGAGGCCTTTCTTACTACACCCTAGTAAGAGGTACCTAGGTCAGTCACTACTGTTGTTGTTCTTGTTGTTGTTGTTGTTGTTAAGTGCCATCGAGTCGGGTCCGACTCATAGCAACCCTGTATAGGGTTTCCCAGTAGTGCCGACCTTGAGGTATAAACTGACCTTGTGGTCCTGTGCACCATCCCACAGCACCACACCAGAACTCCCAGTAACTACAAGTTAAATAAGTATCAAAATAACCCTTTCTAATAACTTTTCCTCTAGTTACAATTTTCATTTAAGTACCGTGATTCATAGAATAATCTTAAATCCTACAGTGAGATCTCAGAACTAACAAATTCAATCAGCATAAGGCAGAGTTTGTAGTAGCAACTTTTATACCTCTGCAGTTTTAAATTTTTCACTAGCAATGAGGCAGGCACAAATCATAGTTCCAGTTCTCCCTAGGGAAGAAAAGAAATTAGTTTAAGGAGCCACTGACAAAGTTAGTGTTTATAAAGAGAAAAAGACTGATAATGCCAAATGATGGTGACTTTTTTTTGGAAATATTGAAAATTTCATACAATATCAGTGGTCCAGCCTTTTTGGAAACCAGAGGGCACTATGTATTAAAATTGAAAGTTCATTACCTAAAGACAGCAATTTTAGTCTAAGGCATATGTACAAAACAGAAATATGAGTTCAAGAAACACATATTTCATAGCAGCATTTATTTGTAATATCAAAAACTGAAAACAACTTAAAATTAAAAAGATTTCATTTATAGTAGCAATATGTCTAAGAATGAATTTAACAAAAGATGTATAAGACAATTATGAAGAAAATGATAAAGTAGTATTGAAGGACAGATATAATGATTCAAATAAAGAAAAAGATATTTTGCATACAACTTGATATTGCAAAGCTATCAATTTTTGTCAAGTTAGTCTAGAAATTCAATGCAGTTCCTATAAAAATCCTTAACATATTATTATGGAATTTCACAAAATTATTCTAAAACTGTATGGAAGAGTAAAGTTCCATGAAATGCGATGACAATTCTGGCATTATCAAGATATATAATGCAAAGCTATAGGTCATAACAATACAGCTTAGGGAACTTAGAAACAGTTCCAAACTTTTGTGGAACTTGGTATATGACTGAGGAAAGCAATCGAGAATAAATGAATTTAGCATAAATACTGTTGGTACAAATGACTATCCATATGGGAACCACCTCCCACAACCACATTCTAATTAGATTTAAGATCTAAATGTAAAAAATGAAACTTAAATGTATTTAGGAAAAAAATGCAGGAGAATATCTTTATTACTTGAGAGTAGAGGCAGATTTCTTAAACATGATACTAAAATGATATAAATATTATATTTTGCATTTTCTATTCTAATGTATTCCATCAAAAATGCTTTTTATAGTCTAATACATTTATTTTACAATAAAGTTTGTGAAACACTGCCATATCATATTTTAAAAGCAAACGTTTAAAGAAGACATCTGTAATAGTTACTACTAACAAAAAGTTAACATTCATACTATTTAAAAACCTTATATAAGTCAATAATAAAATCTTTTGAATATCCTGATACTACTGGTAAGATGAATAGGTACTTACACAAAGAGGCTGCACTAAGGGCTACCTACCAACTGAACAGGGCATCTACAAACAGCCCTAAAGAAAAATCAGTAAAAACAGGGGAACCTAGGATAATATAAGCTCCTTCTGGGAAAAAAGAAAAAACCAAAATCTTAATTGAGTGGTTTCCTTAAGCAGGAAATTAGTCAATCACAGAATAAGATAGAGGTTGAACCATAGGAGATTACCAATATTTGATCATTTTTTACTTTCAAAATAATACTGATCAAAGTAAGAAGTGATCAAATATGAGTTATCTTATTTGGTTCAACCTCTATCTTGTTCTTTTAGCCACTGTATTATAAAATGCAGAATATACAGAATATTTCAATTTATGGAGTTAAACATAGAACTTGCCTACTAACTAATAGACTTGAAACTAGCTCTTGATTCTATTAGATTATGAAATGCAGTCTGACAATGTTGTATTGCCCCAGATATCAATATGAAACTTGTTTTATGGCCCACCAAAAATGTAATTCTTTATATTTGTCAAAAACTGAGAAATATGCTTAGATGATTATTAAAACCTGATGCTGGAATGAGAGAAAATAATATTGAGTATAAATTAGTTGGATTTAGAAATTATTTTTACCCCTATCAAAATAAACTTCCTTGTATTGTTATACGATAAAAACTCTAGTACAATTTTTGTTTTTGAAATAGCATCTTTGTTAGCTCCTTTAATCTTAGAACATTCTCATAAAGTTTAAGAACAACTTTAAATAAAACAAAAAGTGCCCTGACTAAAGTTAAACATGACTTCATTTTGACAGATACACACTAGTCAATTAAAAACAAAGAAATTTCAATACTTCATAAACAAGAAAAATATGTTCACTTTTTCCTTCAACTCCTGTTTTCTTGTTTTTTCCCCTCTGTCCCTTCTGCCTTTCCTTTTTCTCCCCATTCCTTCAGTTCTGAAGCATATATTTTTAAACTACAATAGCTATTAATGTTGATTAAGAACAATTTTGTTCATGTGCTTTAAAGCATTTTTCAAGTTTTTTAGAAAGAGAAAAAGAAAAAGAAAAATGTTATTACCTTTCCCCCCTTTACAGTGAATCACTACGACGTTTTCTTCATCTTCAGCCATCCATTTTTCAACTTCCTTTGTGAATGTCACCATCTCACTGATTGCAAACGTAAGATTTTTTGTTGAATTAAGATAGTTTAAAAAAAAAATATATCAAGGCCCAATGTATTTAACCCTCTTCTCATGACTGCTTAGATACACGTTACCTCAGAGAGGGCACATTGTGATCATCAACCATGATTCTATGGACCCTGTGGTGGAAGTGCACAGGATCATAGCCTCTTTCACCTAAAATTAATGATACCAAGGTTATATCTCTGTGCCTGATGAACACAGTAAATGACCAGGTTATGAACAGCTGCACTTTTATAACAGAAACTCCTTATCCACTTATAAAAGAAGCTTTATAATGGCTTTTCCTACCCTAAATAAAACGCTGAGTCTCACAAGCAGATGAATAGTAATGCTTATCCCTTTCCAGTAAGCTTAAAAATCACAAGCCCAACTTATTTCACTTTATTTAACAGGCCTTACTTTCAACTCTCGAGAAAACTACTCATTATTTTATTGTAAGAGAGTTATAAACTATGGAGCCGGAGGAAATGCGGCTGACCAAAATGCTTGTTCTTGACCCAAGCCATGATATTTTCAATAATCTCACACAGTGAACAAGGAAGACTGCAGAAGAATTGATGCATTTGAGTTATGGTATTGGAGGAGAATATTCAAAGTACCATGGGCTGCTAAAAACACAAACAAATAGATCTGTGTTGGAAGAAGTACAGTCAGCGTGCTCCTTGGGATCCAGGATGGCCAGACTTTATCTCACATACTTTGGAAATAGTATCAGGAGGGACCAGTCACTGGAGAACGTTATAATTTTTGGTAAGGTGGAGTGTTGGAGAAAAAGAGGAAGATCCCAGTGAGATGGACTGGCACAGTGGCAGCTGCAATGGGCTCAGGTGTAGCAATGATTGTGAGGTTGGCCAAGGACCAGTTAGTGTTTAATTTACTATGAGCCAGTACCAACTCAATGGCACATAACAACAACAAAAACAATAACCCCCTAACACGATCTATTTATAATGATAAAGGTAGACAGGTGAGGGAAGTAAGCTGTTTTCTAAAGGGTGTTTTTCATATAGGGCTCTGTTCTCTTAACAACTTAACCCTAATTGACTGGAGAAGGCATTGCTCAATGGTCTGTTTCTTTAAGACACAATCTGATAGGAAAGACAGAAATATTTTTCAAAACCTAATACCACTAGAGTAAATTTTCCCTAAAATTCTTCTGTCTCTATACAGCCTCTTTGATTACAACTGACTGCTAATACTCTCCCCACAGGGCACTTTGTGTATTGTGCTATCCTTTCCTACCAAAGTGGGTAAGGCAGGATGGAGATTTTTGAATTCACACTCCACTATCACCAAACATTTAAGGTTAAATGAAATGTAAAACCGGAATCATCCTCTTATAAGCAGAGATCTATTTTCTAATAGAAAATAGCAAAATATCTTGTCAGGTACATACTGCACAGATTGTAGATCATATAATGGTCTCGATGTTTCGTATCCAGGAACCGTACAACTTCCTAAAAAGATAGACATGAATCTTATATATGTACCACCATCAGCCATTTTCTAGGAGTTACCTGAAATGCTTATCATCTTTAATTTTCTTTCTCTAATTTAGCACCCTCTAGGGGTGATTCCTGGTGTGCGCTGTGTGGGCTAATGCATCAGACTGCAAAGTCATTTGAATTGCAAGGTCTGTGGTTCAAGCTCACCAGCTGCTCCTTGGAAACCCTATACAGGGTCGCTATCGGCCGGAACCAACTCAACGGCACTTAACAACAACAACAACAGGGGTGATTCAAGGAATATTAGGGTATGTACATTCCAAGATATGTCTAAATCACTGACAGGCTTTCTAATCACCCACAAGGTGTGCTTGGCTCCTCTGAGTGGCCTCCATCCTACAAACACACTGGTGAAGCTACCAGAAAACGAAAGTAGAAGTCTAACCAGCTTTAGGCAAATTTGTTCCACCTGATGAATTCATCGTAGCATGGCTCCTGTTTAGATTTAATTCTGGATAGATTTGTCTTTTGGATAATTATCTGAATATGCCCATCTACTTAAGCACTATTTAAATAAGTACACAAAATATAATTATGTGTATTATGCATAATAACAAAAAGCAAATGATAACAAATTTAGGTAAGTTGTGGTAATGTGGGAACATTTAACTTTTTTTTTGGTTCATCTCTGTTTTCACGTTTTATAAAATGAATGTGTGTATTCTAACTATTTTGGAATCCTGATGTGGCACTGCAGGATAATGTGAGGGACTGCAAGGTTAGTTTGAACTGCAAAGTTGGTGGTTCAAACCCGCCAACACCTCCTTGGAAACTCTATACAGGGTCGTTATGGGTCGGAACTGACTCGATGGTACTTGACAACAACAAATTATAAATATTTTACACATATATATTTTAATCGTTCCATATATGTGTATGTTGCTATTAAGTGTTTCCGAGGCATTAAATCTTTGCAGGAGCAGAAAGCCTCATCTTTTTTCCATGGAGTGGCTGGCAGGTTCCAACTGTGACGCATGTGGCTTGCAGTTCAGAGCTTATCGTATGGAACAATCACACTCCTATATATGTATTAACTTTAAAAATATGAAAAATAGTGTTTGCTTTTTTTAAAATAGTTAATGTTGTTGTTGTTGAGTGCCATCGAGTCGATTTGACCCATAGCAACCCTGTATAGGGTTTCCGAGGAGCAACTGGTGAGCTTGAACCGCCGACCTTGCAGTTCAAATGGCTTTGCAGTCTGGCGCATTAACCCACAACGCCACACCATAGCACCATACTAATCCAATATTTCCCACAAACGTATCCATCCTAAACTCTCATCACACACAAGTATAAGCCTTTTTGCAACAACACAAATGACTACCACTAAGTTCAGTACTTTCATAGCATGCAAATGCTAGATAATGGATCAGGTAGACGGAATAACAACTGACGCCTTTGAATTGTGGTGTTGGCAAAGAATACTGAATACACCACTGTTGTTGTTAGTGCTGTAGAGTCCGTTCCAACTCATAGCAACCCTGTGTAGGGTTTCCGAGGAGTAGCTGGTGATTGATTCAAACTGCCCTTGCAGATTAGTGCATCAGGACTCCAAATAAACCACAATCACAAGACTGAACAAATCTGTCTTGGAATAAGAACAGTCAGAATGCTCTTTAGAAAGGAGGATGGCAAGATTTTGTCTCACATACTTTGGACATGTTATCGGGAGGGTCCAGTCCCTGGAGAAGGATATTATGATTAGCAAAGTGGAGGGTCAAGGAGCTCTGGTAACGTAGTGGTTACGAGTCAAGGTCAGCTAGTTCAAAACTACCAGTGGTTCCACGGGAACAAGATGAGGCTTTCTGCTCCCGTTAAGATTTACAGCCTTGGAAACCCTATACAGGATCGCTGTGAGTTGGACCAGACTCCACGGCACATAGCCACCACCTAAGTGGAGGGTCAGCGAAAAAGAGGAATACCCCCAACCCCAAATGAGATGGATTGACACAGTGGCAACAACAATGGGCTCGAGCATAGCAGTGATTGTGAGGGTTGTATAAAAGGTTGTTATGAGTCAGCACCTAACAACATAATAACCTAGCAATGTTAACTGGTTTAATATTGAAGGAAAATAAAAACTAGGGAGTCAAAGTGATCAATTTGTTACAGTGGTATCCCTGTCAGGAGAAAGTAATAAGTCCCCAAAAAATCAACACTCAGGGTTTGCATATTGCATATTGCAAGGGAAAGAGTAAATAAACCTTATATAATTTAAAAATTCATGAAAACCCTTATATTAAAATAAAATACAGATGAATTGAAGAATCAAATATTATAAACAAACGTCTTTCAGAAATACAACTGAACATTGATCAGTTGTATGAATCAATAGGTTTAGGTTTGACTACATAAAAAATTGAAATTTTTTGTTTAAAATATTTCTAAAATACAACAGACAAGGAACGAGTGAAAAGATTTTTCAAATACAAATGAATTAATGGGGATTATCTGGTAGCGTAGTGGTTACGAATCAGGCTGCGAACCGCAAGGTCAGCAAGTTCGAAACTACCAGCTGCTCCGCGGGAGAAAGATGAGGCGTTCTGCTCCCGTAAAGATTAACAGCCTTGGAAACCCTGTGCAGGGTCGCTATGAGTCGGAACCGACTCCACGGCACATAACAACAACAACAACAATACCTAGTTTAATAAATTAATAACATTCATTGACAACTTAAAGATACCCTCTCTTCTTATAGCTAAATGGGCTGAGGACATAATAAACAAATCACAAAAAATAAAATCCAACTAGCTAACATTCTACATAGATGCTCAGTCTTAGCAAAAAAGAAATCAAAGTAACAATGATACCATTTTACCCATTAAATTATCCCTTTCCTTTCTAATGAAAAAATACAATGCTAACAAATATGGAGTCCTGATGTGGCACTGTAGGATAAGCACTGGACTACTAAATGCAAGGTTGGCAGTTCAAACCCACCAGCCACTCCTCAGAAACCTTATGGAGGGTCGCTATGAGTTGGAACTGACTCAACGACACTTATCAATAAGAAGCACATATGGCATAAAGATTTACACCCTCGGAAACCCTGTACAGGGTCGCTATGGTCGGAACCGACTCGACGGCACTTAACAACAACAATGGCATAAAAATAAAATCTTTCATTTATTGCTGATACAATCTCTTAAATGACAATTTGAAATTATTAAAAACTTCAAAACTATTCCTACTCCAGGCAAATAGAAATTGACTGTGCCCTAGATGGTAGCTTGCAAGCTTTTAGGACCCAGGCTCTACACAATGCAGCAAAAACAGATGCACTAAATATGATATTAGAGTCATTAACTGGGAGGGCCTATGAAAACATGACCCTAAACCCTCCAAACAACAAAGCAAATCCCATGAGGTTTTGGGTTGTACATCAGCAGCCTCAGCAGCTACTCTTCTAGGGTTTTGTGGTTGTTGTTGTAAATATATCACACAACTTTAGCCAATTCAACTTTTTACAGGTGTGCAACTTATTGACGGTGATTATAACAATCAGCTGTGTGGTCCTATTCTTAATCAGTGTGACATTTCCGTGAACCCTCCTGTCCCCTCTCTACCACCCTTGGTAACTCCTAGCATACTTTGTTCTCTATACATTTGCCTTTTTACAAGTGAGTTCATACAATATTTCTCCTTTTGTGATTGATTTATTTCACTCAGTATAATGTCTTCCAAATTCATCCATATTGTAGCACGAATCAAGACTTCATTTTTCTTACTGGCTGAGCAGAATAGATACATTCTAGTGTGTGTATGTATCACACTGTGTTTATCCATTCAGCTGTTGATGAGCATTTAGGTTGTTTCTACTTTTTGGCTGCTATGAGCAGTAAGGCAGTGGACATTGGTGTTCGAGCATCAGGAACAAGAAGAGGATATGAAATGTGTGGTTAATTGCTTCCATGAACAACAGCCTTCTTTTCCATGAGACTAGAAGCCTGAATGATGCTTGGCTACTGTTACTGAGAATTTTGATCAAAGATTTCATAGAAGAATCCTGATAAAAGGGGGAAAATGCAGAACAGAATTTCAAATTCTGTTCCGATTTCCTGGAGCTGTGAAAGTTAGATATCCTCCTTAAACTACTGCCCTGAGATAAACTTTAAACCTCAAAACAAAAAGTATCTCCTGAAGTCTTCTTAAAATGAAACAATAGTTTATCTTAACTTGTTGTTGTGGTTGTTAAGTACCGTCGAGTCAGTTCTGACCCATAGTGACCCTGTATAGGGTTTCTGAGGGGCAGCTGGTGAGCTTGAACCATCGAGCTTGCGGGTCACACTCATTTTGCACTCCAGTGCATTAATCCACAGCACCACATCAGCTTAATTTACTAGTCTAACTAGTTTAACTAGTTTACTAGCATAACTAGTTTAACACACCAGTTTACTAGCTTAACTAGTAAGCCTTAAACACTATGTTCTTTTAAGAAATATGGGACCTGCATAGGATCAAAGTGACAATAGTGACTTGAAATATTAGATAAGAACACTAGGGGGCAATGGATTCATACTAATAGGGAAAGAACAACTCAGAAAGGAGGGTGAGAAAGGCTGCATAACTCAAAGGATGCAATCAGTGTCATGAATAGTACATGTAGTTGTTGTTAAGTGTCATCAAGTCTGGTCTGACTCACAGTGACCCTGTATAGTGTTTCTGAGGAGTGGCTGGTGAGTTTGAACAACCGACCTTGTGATTCAAATCGACCTTGTGGGTTGCTTACCCTACAGCGCCACACTAAGACTCCAGAAATAGTACATGCAGAAACTGTTAGATTGTAGTGTATGCTTTGTGTGTATATTATTATTAACAACAAAATAATATTTTTAAAATATTAATACTCTTTAACCAGAAAATGTCATTTCTAGAATTCTATCCAGAAAAACGTTATGCCTCGAGATATTTGTTGCTGTATTACTTATAATAAAACCAACAAACACCTACAG